ATTGCGCGGCGGCTAGCTGGCAGAGGAGCTGTGCAACGGCAACACACTTGGCAGCAATGGCAGTGGCGCAGCGCTGTGCTTTAGAGTGAACTGGCGAGGCGAGGAGACGCGAATGAAGACAACACTTGAACCAGAAGACACGTGGGGTTGAGGTGTCCACGATGGCCTGACTTGTGGGGGAAACATCGACGTATGGCTGCCAAATGTTGAGTGCGGCCAGCGCCCTGTCGGCCATGATGGCGTGAACGCCATGGCTATCAGAGCTACCATCAACGCCTGACAGCGTGTTTTCATCCCCTCCAAACTCCAAATCGGTGGCGAGTTAGCAAAATCTCCTTGAAGCAAAGTTGTAGAGCTACGATAGGGCTACAACATTTCTTGAGAAAGTATCAGCTAATTCTCAAAGAATCATGAGTTACATCAACCCAAAGTCAGCCACGTCAAACTGTAAATGTAGCTATGACTTAGACAAATTTCTAAGTGCTGAATCAGCACCCAAAACTGACTTGTGAGCCATGTTTCGGACTGTTCCACACATTTTCATGACTTGGCCTCTAAACAAAGTTTGTTCTATATATAATTTGCTACAACTTTGCTTTAGGTTGCTCAGCCATGCTAAGATTCTAACTTGCAGTTCATAAAAGGTCAAACAAATTGGTTTCCTGGGTCAAACTAAACACATCAAGACTTAGGGGCTTGATTAGGTGAAATGTTCTACACAAACATTGTTCCATTAGGAATCCTAAGGATAACTAAGGTATTTAAGTTACCAACATCATCCACTTGCACTCAATCACACATGATCATAAGCATACATATAAGAAAAACATAAAATACAAGTCATGTTTCAATTGCACGTTTCATATGAAAATGCTTATGCATGAATGAATGATGCTTATGCTCATGCAATGCAAGTGTAGTTATGCAAACCTAACACCTAGGGTGTTACAAAGACCGCGATGGACGAGGCCCTCCATGTGCTGGAAGGTGATGTCGAAATGGCACCACGGATCCATTGGAGGTGGGGCGGATGTGAAAGGGACTGTGCCGCCTAAGAGGGGGGGGGTGAATTAGGCAACTTAAAACTCTAACTCTAAACTATGGCCTCTTTTTCTACCTAGTCAAAACCTATGCAAGAAAGTAATCTAAATGTGCAACTACGGTTTTACTAGTGTGTTGCTATCTCTACCGCAAAAAGGAGTTATGTAACCTAGGTTCCAAACCTATCAACTAGCCTATCACTAAGCTAGGAAAGTAAAGCACAAACCAAGATTGCAATGTAAATGCGGAAGCTAAAGAGTAAGGTAGAGATATGCAAACTCCCGTCGACAACTCCGGTATTTTTACTGAGGTATCGAGAAGCGTGGAAGTTTCCCCCTAGTCCTCGTTGGAGCCCCTCGCAAGGAATCCATCGCAAGGGCCAAGCTCCCAGTCGAGTAACTCCGTCGATAGCCCCGGGCCTTACCCACGCGTAAGTGGGTCTCCGACATGCCTTCCGGCAAGCCTCTCCGGGATGCTCCCCGCTGTCTTCACTATTAAGCTTCCGCCGAACCGCCGCGGGCCTTGTTCCCTTCGGTACACAGTGGCGGCCACACCACAAACACGGTTGGTGTGATCTCGCAAGACTACAAGCCCCTCCGATGTACAATAATGATGCGCGCAAGCACCGAGTGGTAAGAGGTGTGCAAAACTCACTAAACACTAGGCCTAAACCTAGAGCAAGCGCATAAGCAGTGGTCTAATCAACCTAAGCAATTCGCAAAGCACCTACGCTAATCACCTAATGAATCACTAAGCATAATGCAAGTGGAGATCACTAAAATGGTGTATCAACACCCTTGGTATTTTTTCTCAACTCTCCCCTTCTCAAATGGCTGGTTGGGGGATCTATTTATAAGCCCCACCGAGAAAGTAGCCGTTGGGGGCAAAACACAGCTTTCTGCTACTGACCGGACGCTGCTGTCATCGTGACCGGACGTGTCCGATCGTCCCGACCGTTGGAGAACACGTGTTGATCGGACTCTGGGCTGAGTCCGGTCATCATCGATCGGTCGCATCCGGTTGCGTTGGCGCCGTTCTGGAACCTTTCTGGACTCGATCAGACGCCACTGCCTGGCGCATCCGGTCATCCACAGCTGTTGCGTCCGGTCATGCTGAATTATTGACATGACTATGAACAATGAAGTCCGTGCGTCCGGTCACTACCTCGCTCAGTGTCCGATCGCTGCTGCTGATGCCTGCTGTTGCCGAGCAACTGATCGCACGCGTTCGGTCACTCATAGGGCCGCGTCCGGTAACCTTTGTGAAGCTCGTTTCTTCATGATCTGCGTTCAGCTTGGTTTCCATCTTCATGCTTGGACGTTGCTTGATATCTTGGGTCTTCTCTTATGCTTCTAGGGTCTTGCTTATGGTGTTGATCTTGGGATCATCATATCGCCTTTGTCCAAGTCACGTCTTGCACCCTATTGAAGTACAAAACAATTACTTGCAAATTCATTAGTCCAATTTGGTTATGTTGGTCATCAAACACCAAAATTCAAAGTAAATAGGCCTAGGGTCCATTTGCCTTACAGGATGGATGCGGGCTCAACAGCGGCGGAGATGTGGAGGTAGAAAACCTAAATGTTGGCGGCAGCGGTGTGGCTGCAGAGGTAGGGATGCAGGCGTACGTATGAAACACGGAGGGCTAGCCCTTTGGTTTTATAGGGGCGACGGGTGCGAGGAAACCAACCGTCCGCCTAGATCTCCAGGCCTACCATGACCTATCACCACGACTCGTCGTGGGGCGTGCGCACGCAACCTATGGCCGTCCCCTCAGAAAACATGCCAGATGTTTCGCCTCCCGAACGGGCCACGACCTGTCACAGGTAAAAGAGATACAGAGCTAAAAAGGCTCCAACGGCCTATCTAGGCCTAGGAGTTCAAAGGTTGGCCCACCGATGGGTTCGATGACCGCTCCGGGCACCTTTAGAGTGAGGGATGGAAAGGGGTGGGCCCGCTAGCGGCCAGAACTCGGGCGCACGAGCGTCGCGGGCATCCCGGCCCACGTCGAGTCTCAGCCAGATACGATCCATGGTTTTTCCTCGAAGAAAGGCAGAGAGCTCTCGGGACCGGTCGAACGGACCCGAGAACTATATTGATTGATCGCTGAGAATCTAGAGACGGTCACCAGTTGACCCAAGCCGGACCCCCACGAATGGGATGTCGGGACCCCATTTGAACTAGTCCGTTAACAGCTCACCGAGCGTCATGATTCGTCCATAAAGGAAAATCGTGGCACGGCTCAGCCCCTCTGTTTTTATCAGAAAAAACGCTTGAGGAAAAACGATCACAAAGACAAGCCGATCCTTGACCGGACCCCTACTACGGGCGGGGGCTCGAGGAAAGTTGGTCTCGCAAGGAGACCGAACGCGCGGTCGTAGAACAACAGACCCCCATAGGGGTCGAAATTAGGAAAGACCTTTTTCGACCCACCAAATCTCATGGCTATACCCTCGAGGGGTCCGATCTCGATGAAAGGGAATCACCGTCCCTAGGTCACGCCGCGGGCGACAAAAGAAGGCCAAGGCCCTTAGAGTCCTCCCATTTGGAAAATCCTCCGAAGGAGTATTCTACTCCTCCGCAGGCTCGAGGGCTATTGTCAGGAACCAATACTAGGGTATCCGAAGAGAAGGAGCTAGTGACCATCAACATCGATTCATCCGAGTAGTCAAGAGCGTGACTACAGCTCCAACCGACCCCCAGGTATGCAGGCTCCGCCTCGCCCGACCTCTGGGGGTGGGCTTCACCTCGTCCGACCCCGAGGCCGCGGGCTTCGCCTCGCTCGACCTCCGGGGCGGGCTCCTCCTCGCCCGACCCCGAGGCCGTAGGCTCCGCCTCGCACGACGGGGTCCCATACCGTCGCCAACCACTCCAGGTCCAGGCGTATGGGCCTGGGTCAAAACTCTGACACCAAGGAAGAGACCGACACGCCCCGATTTAACCCATGGCCGTGACGGGCCATACCTGAGGGTTCACATCAAGAACAGTGTCGGGCGTGCCAGTGCTGTTCTGCCTAACCATCGTACGAACGCTGACAGGCGTGTCAGTTTATCACGACGTCCGCCGGGACGAAATGGAATACCATGATCGGCAGACGACGCCTGCGCGTGGCGCTAGTGACGGACAGGGCCGCGACGTGGAGCTGCCCCTGTTGACATCTACAGGGTCGACAGGACCCGCATGAAGGAGAAGAAGGACCCGGTGATCCTGAAAGACTTCTTCTCCCTCTCATTCTTTTCTTTTCCTCCGTCGTAACCCGTGCTTTCCCTTGGTCTATAAAAGGAAAAGCAGGGCGTCCCATGGAGGGGATCGACCCATGGAGGACCGATCGAATCACCCCGAACCAATCTGAACACGAGATAAACACGTAAGAGCACGACACGAACACACGGCTGAGCAACGATCGAGCTCTCAGCACCCGTTTACTCTTTCCACTAGAGACTTATGATCCTTTCCCTCTCTCGACCGTTTATACCCCCTATTATAAACTCGCAGTGCTAGTAACACAAGCAACAGCAACGAACGGGACGTAGGGACTTTCTGTCCGAACCAGTATAAACCTCGTGTCCTCTAAGCACACCATCCGAGCCAGACGCGTAATATTAAAAATTTATTCGTCGGTAGTAACTCGAAACATCGATAAATTAGTTTGGTCTAAGATATATTGTACTCCCTTTATTTTAAATTAAAAGATGTTCTGTTTTTTCTAGATATATTGTTTTCATTGAGTACTAGACATAGTGTATATCTAAGTGTATAGCAAAAACTATATATTTATAAAGACCAAAATATCTTATAATTTAAAATGGAGTACTTCTTTAATCTCAACACATCAATACAAGCTATATGAACTCGTTGCCCTTTAATCTTTACAACTTCCTTTAACCATGGTTGGATATCTGAGCACACCCATTTCTTCCACTATTGCGATGCATGCAATGCGGTATTCTGCAAGCTAGCTAGTTCACCCTCCGGCAGTTGCGCCGGACCTCTCCGCTGCTCCCGGTTAGGACACCAATGCCGCCCATCTTGACCATGGCTGCGGCGAAGTCGCTACTGAACCGCGCCGAGCTGGCCGCGTAGCTCCTGACCAGTCCGTCCGTGGAGCCGCCGTTGAAGAGCTCTTGATCGGAGTGCAGCAGCCCCTGCTGCGCGACCAGGTCGCCGTAGTACGCGTTGTCGAACGCGTTCGGCGTGGACGCGTCCAGCGGCGCGCTCGCGCCGCCCCCGCCGGCCGCCGGGCAGCCGGCCCTCAGCGACGCCGCGAAGGCCGCGTTGATGTTGGCGTCGTTGTAGATCCTGGCCTGGTAGTTCTGGCACTGCGCCTGCCCCACCGTGTGGGCTCCTGCATGCGTATGCAACCGCTCACGTGTCAGTGGTGACCAGCGGTACGTGGCGGTGGGGGCGGTGGCGCTGGCGCTAACTGCCAAGCTGCCACCGCTGTTAGAGTAGAGGCACAGGGGAACTGGTAGTTGCATGGTCACGTCGACATCACTGAACTCGATCAGGCGCTTTGGTGCTGGCTGATCACTGATGAAACCGTGATTGATTGATCAGTGACAGTGAGGAACGCACCAGACAGAGCGACCATGTCGGTGCTGCTCAGGCCTTTCCTGGCGAATGCGGCGAGCAGGGTGCTCAGGCTGGACGCCGGCGAGGGGAGGTCGGTGTTCGCGGTGGAGAGGCTCGCCGTGGTGGAGTCCCTCCTGCCGAGCTGCACCGTCCACGATGGGCCTCCGAGCTGCACACGCAAGATCGCAAGACAATGTTAACTGTTAAGTGAGCTGGAGTCCTCAGTGAATAACTACTGCTACTGGCTCATGATTGGGATGGTCATCCGTTCGTACCGCGACGACAGAGTCACGGGCGGCGACGGCGAGGATGTCGGCGCACGACACGGTCCGCGGGCACAGCGCCTCCAGCAGGGCCTTGATGGTGTCGATGACGCCGAACCCCCTGAGCGACCCCGCGTTCGGGCCCGCGCTCTTCTCCCCGGTGAAGTTGCCCGTGTCGTCCAGCAGAACGGACGCGTCGCAGCCCTGGCGCACGTACATACACAGGCAGGTACACAGCTCGTCACATGACTTGTTCACAGAGATTCTTACACCTCGACCAGCTGCTGTGGACTTGCCTGCACGAAGCAGTCGTGGAAGTGAAGGCGGAGCAGGGAGCCGCCCATGCGCCGGTCCAGCACCACGGCAGCCCTCACGGCGGTCTTGATGGTGACGAGCGCGGCAGGGCACGACGAGGCCGTAGAACGTCGGCGACAGCTGAGCCCGTGCGGCGGCCACCACCGTGGCCAGTGCCAGGATCAGTACTGAGAGCTTGGAGTGGCGGAAGCGATGGCTGCTAAACGCAGCAGCCATGAACGAACAAGTGCTAAATCCCTGAACGCTCTCTCTTTCAATAAATCCCTGAACACTCGCTCCGGAACTGAAACGTTCTGCGAGGCTGAGCTGAGGTGCTTGGGTTCTTGTGTGCTCTGGTCACTGCCTGCAGTGCTGGCAGCCTATATATAGGCCAGATCCAGCCAGACTCAGAGCAGCTTTGCCTTTGACCCTGTTCGCCGGAAGGAATGGATGAATCTGAAAAAATTTTGTAGAAGTGTAAACAGTAAAAACCAATTATAAACAGTGAATTCCGACTGGTTTTTACACCAGCAGCGCGCCAAAATCGCTGGTCTTCGTTGGACCTGTCCATGCTTTTGGTTCAATCAAGCAAACCGACCGAAAATTCCATAGGTTAAATTATTTGATGTAAAGTTCTTTTGTGTACTCATCGCAATCACCGACAGCTTGAGAAGTTGTGGAGCATCATTTGATGAGGAGAAAGATGCGTAGCCATCAACCAATTTGGTTTGTTCGACCATAGAAACAATTTTCTCGAATCCAGCGGTCAATCTCCAGTAACACAGACCACATGTATTTTTTGTGGGTGGATCCGTTTGCAATCGGATAATCCCAACGGCTCACTTTTGCTTCGTTCGCTTGTCTTAAATTTGGCTTGTTTGGCTTATTTTTTCAGTCGAAACAGTGCTTTTCTCTCACAATAATTCAGCCGGAACAGCGTTTTTCAGTCAGTTTCAGCCAAAGTTCAGGACCAGCGAACGGGGCGGAAAAAAAAAGTCATGTGTCCTGTTTAGACTTTGGAGCAAGTCGTCCACGTCCATTCAGTTTTCACTTTGTTCTTTTTTTTTCATTTTTTTATTTTTTATATTAACTTATCAATTTTTCTTCTTTATACTATGAATAAATTCAGATCTAGAAGTTTGTCCAGAACAAGTTATATGAAAAAAATTGTTAGACAACAAAAATGTATGTGTATAAGTCATGTGATTCGTAAAATTCAGTTTGGCGAGCGTTCGTGGGGAGTGGACGTTTCTGCTATCTGCGGACACCATGTGGTGAATCCATGCTTCAAGCCACTTGAGTCTTGCGGTGATTAGCCCCGGTTGTCCGACTAAGTGCTGTTTGATGCACGTCTATCCATCTCAATCCACATGTGTTAGAATGGAATGGAAATGTAATTTAGTTTAATTTCACTCTAATTCACTTCAACACATGTGGGTTGAGATGAATACATGCACATCCAAATAAGACTTAATGTTACATATATGTATTTTTTTTATTTTTCTTTCACTTTTCACGTGTATATGACCTACAGTAGATGGTCATTTTTATCTTTCTATATCTACCGCTTCTCCTATAGCTTGGTATTTTTTTTCTGTATTTGTCTTACCTTGTGCTTGGAGCGATCTATCCATGGCCATGTTCATGGGTTGACGTCTGTTCAATTTTCATTTTTCCTTTTATTTTGTTTCTCTATCAGATTTTATTTTCTCAGTTCCTTTTCTCCTTTTGCTTTTTCTTGCCCTTTTTTTTTTTTTTCCTTTTTTTGTATTGTATATTGAGAAATTTGATCAAAATAAATTACATAAAAATTTGTGTTGGATAAATTGTATGTATATTTTTTTTCAAAAGAAGTTGGACAACAATAACTTTCGTAAATAAGTTATGCTATTTGTGTAATTTATTATGTAAAGTCTTGTTTATAAAAGTTATGTTGAAAATTTGTTATGAATAAGTTTGCCCACAGATAGTTGAACAAAACTTGGACTTCAAATGTATGAGCTCTGAACGGATGGACATTGAGTACCTCGTCTTTCTTTAACCCCTGAACACTTCTCTTTATTTTTCGACCTATGACAAAAAGTTAACCATGCACTACAGACAAAACTAACGTTAATCCTATTATTAAAAATTCAGGTTGACATGAAGAATCACATTCCTTCATATTGAAAAAGATTGGTGGTGAGCACTATTTGAGCTTAACAGGGTTCCCCCAATTAGGTTCCTTCAGCTACAAGATATGCCCATGGGTTGGTGACATCGATTTTTGGTTTTCTAACACTATCTGAGTACAAGCTTTTGAGATTCTCTCTGCTTTATAAGCTGTAGCTGACCCACATATTCCCCGAGTTGCACCCACAAAGATTGGTTGGTTCGGACATCGATCTCACGACCAACTTAAGTATGCTCCAGGATATGATGAGGCTAGGGATGAACAAAACACACATTAGTGGAGATGTTTTGCATCAATCCAAAACAGCCACTGCATTTTGTAGTACGAATATATGATGCGTACTCCAGGCATAATTGTTCCACCGTTTCATGTCGCACACTTTCGATGTAAAATATATAGGCCTTTGATGAAATAGTGAATCCTTAACGAAGATGACTGAGCTTTTTTAAAAAATGCATGTCGTATGGAGGCGGATAAAGCATTGGTACATTGGTACTCTGTACTCATGGCAATAATCATGGTCTGGACGTGGTTAACTAAAAGCATCCCTTTCATCCAAAAATGTACAGTTTTTTTTTTTTTTTGGTGGCGGTGGTGGGTGGTGGTGGTGTGTGTGTGTGTGTGTGTGTGTGTGTGTGTGTGTGTGTGTGGTGGTGGTGGTGGTGGGGGTGGGGGGGTGTAAGAGAGACATGCTGTGACCTGTGATGACTGATGACAACTATGGACTATGCACAAAAAATGTTGGACCTGCTTCTGCAGACCTCAGCTGTTACTTTACTTTGATGGAACAGATCTATGTGCAAAGGATCTAATGTTCTACATACTGGACTGAAATTTAGTGGATCAACGATCTATAAAGACGATTTGTTTGCAACAGCAAGTTGAAGTCTCGTGATGAATTCGTCGACGGGCATTGTGCCGATCTCCCCGTTGTGCCTGGACCTGATAGTCAGGGTCCTGGCTTGAACTTCTTTACGACCAGCAACTGCCATGAGTGGCACCTTTTGTGTTTCAGCATTCCTTATTAGCTTTGGTAGGCGCTCTCCATGACAGACTTCAACACGTAACCCTCTTGATTTCAGTTCTGAGGCCACCTCGTTACAGTATTGCAACTGAAAACACAAATCAAGATGTCATGGTTTCATAAATAATACTAAGGCAAACATCTATCTGAACTATAAACATCTCTTCAATCGAAAGAGAACCAGATAATCCAGAATATCAGTGAACATATGCTTTCAATTTTAACAAAATATGGTGAACAATAATGCAAAGCAAATGAATCAAACCTCATTGTCTGTCACAGGTAGAATACGTGCTTGAGTTGGGGCAAGCCAAAGTGGAAAATCACCAGCATAGTGTTCAATCAGGACACCAAAGAAGCGTTCCAAAGACCCAAGGATAGCTCTATGAATCATGATGGGTCGCTTTTTCTCAGAATTTGAATCAACATAGGTAATGTCGAACCGTTCAGGCAAATTGAAATCCACCTATAACAAGAAAATGGAGCGTTAGTGTATCCTATTTTCTCTTCGAACAATTTGAGTAGAGTAAATCACGTTAGAGGCCATTGAACTTGTGGTGTACATGCAAATAAGTCACCAAGCTTTAAAATGGGACAGGTTCATCACTAAACTTTCAAAGTGGATCTCCTGGAGGTGACTTATGTGGCAACTTGTCTAGTCACGCTAGCATGGACCCCAAGTTTTGTTCAACATGGCAATGGGTTAAGATTAGAGTGGTGTGCCAATAGTTTGTGATCTTTGCATTGAACCCCTGCATGCTAATCATATTAGAACTAATATGTTCACAAACTAATTCATGTACTTAGATATTCAACTCCAGTGCTGGGCAGAGCTGGCGGAGCTTCATGGAGGCAAAGCTGGCCCCCCTGCTCTGAACAGATTACTGAAGACCATATGTATCCTCAGTTTATTTAGTATGGAGACATCAGTCTCAACCTAGACTCCTAGAGTTTATTCATATTTAGGGCACAGCCACATGTATTTATCTGGCAGCAGCACACTAGCCATAAGGTAGATGGCAGGCAATTTGCATTGGGTGGGTGAAAACTAGTACACTACCGTGTAGAAAGTTAGGGCAAATTATAAGGAACATATGGATTAAAGGATGTTGGAAGACTTTTTTAAAAATTATTATACCACGTCCTTCACTATAATTTCCATGTCAGCGTTATTGGATGGTGGTACATTATTGGTGATTTTAGACCATCTTGTTAGAAACTTTAGTCATGGATTAGTTTAATTTTGAAGAACAGTGACCTTTTTGCACGTACAAGACAAGTTTGGTGACCTTCAATGCCATTTACACATTTGAGTACCTCTTATCCCATAAAAATATATAATTTACCTGCACAGTGGAACACTGCCATTTCCTTCCAAGAGCATCCTCAATTTTTAGATCGATTTTTGGACCATAAAAAGCACCTCCACCTTCATCAACCTTGTATTCCCAACCTTTATCATCTAATGCATTCTTCAGAGCAATCGTTGCCTTTTCCCATATGTCATCAGTGCCAACAGATTTTTCTGGCCTAGTTGAAAGGTTTATCTCATAATACCGAAAACCAAATTGTCCAAGTATTTTCTCAGTTAGATCAAGAACACCTCTAATTTCATCTTTTATCTGGTCCTCCAGGCAAAATATGTGGGCATCATCCTACATAAATAGAAATAGTTGAAATTTAGGCATCATCCTACATAAATAGAAATTGTTAAGAATTGAAAACAATACCAAGAGTAGTTTTGAATTTTATAAAGTAGTGGTGAGAAAATTCTAGTACCAACCATCCAGTGCTATGATTGTTAGCAAAATGTTACAGAGTAGAATGTCCATATTCCATAACTTAAGGATAGTATGTTTAGAAAAGGAACTGAAACAAAAGGTGCTGAGACCTATGCTGTGTATTCTTGGAAACAGAAAAAGGTCATGTGTGGACTTGATTGCTGGCTAATGACATTACATAAGCAAATATAAAACAATAAATAATGCCAAAAGGTACTTCAGGGAAAGAAGCAAAAGCTGCATAGCAGTACTACAAAGC